TTACTTTGTAAATCTTTGTGTGGTTAGAGCCCAATACGCTAATTCGGTTGTTTGAATTCGTTTCCACACTTATGTGTGAACTCTGTCGCGCACCGCGAACGTTTGGCGCAAGTGAAAAAGACTTGCAGCTGTCCGCTGTGTTCAAGGGACTTGTTTCCAAGGGAAAAGGTCTAGGAGGGACCTTAAGTTTTTCACGATCGGCGACTTGAACTATGGATTTGAAGCTTTTCATGCTTCCGATGGCCCAAGGTCAAGCCTCATCATTTTTTTGATGAATTATCCTTGCCTAATTGTTTCACTAAGTTTTGCTATGCGTTCAAGGTAAGAATGTTTGTTCATGACAACTCCGATCAAATGGTTGTTGCGACAGGTTATAATGTTCAGCAGAAGTGCTTAAAATGACGAACTGCCAAAAAAATGTATGGACGATTGCTTGGATATTGTTCAAGCACAATTTGTTTTAAGAGTCGCCATCGCGCCAAGAACATCCCTGAGACACTGGTCGATGACTTCGGTTGGAGCCGCTTCCCGCTGCATACGGGCCAAATCTCCTTTGTGTCTCGACCTGAAGTCAAAATGATTAACTTCCACATTTCAAGAATTGCCGTTCTCCGATCATCCTCCATATCTGCCCAAGAACGGAAGTGGACAACTGAGACCTTCCAAAGTTCACTCGAAGCTCTTATCTGCTGCACTGTCTCTCTTTACCTGAGGCTCGTCTGAGTGTTCTGAAAGAACGATCCGACAATCGGTGTCAACCAAGGCGCTCTAGACCCAAAAACCTGTGCAAGCGAACCTTGCTTCCACGGAGTTGGCATATCCACTGGTGTGGCATGCAAAGCAGACAAAGTATGATGTACAGATGGCTGGTAAGGTGCCCTAGACTCCCGAATTCGAGCTTTAAACCAATTCTCCATGCCAATCCCGCAAGAAGAAAAGAGCCTCCTTGTTCACATGTTGATTGCATTGTGCATTCCGGAAGAGTTTGGAAACGTCCATTGAATTTTCATTCTTCAAGATGGGACATATTGCACGACGAGACACAAAACTGATTTGTAGTCGCGTGTTTTGTATTCCATGTAAGATATTCGCATGTAAGATTGGCAAAAAAGTCGAACCCACGTTGCGCCGAGGATGAGTCCATGTCGTTAGTTTTTAGATGCTGTAATCTGGTCGAAGGTGGCGGCCGTATGGATTTGCAGATTCAGCTTAGAAAAGCTTCGCGTTCGCAAAAGGTTGATCACCAAAAAGTGGGCGGAAGTGCGCGGAAGTGTGCGGACGTGTGCGGGTATGTGCGGGAGAAGTGCGCGGAAGTGCGCGGAAGTGCACGGAAGTGCGCGGCCCACGAGGCTTCCGCACGTGCAAGCGGGCTCAAGCGAAATTCCAAGCGTGTCACATGCAACTGCAAGGGCTGCTAAGTTGTCCAAAAAGACTCGGACGAAGAACAGTGTTGAAAAAGACAAAAACCGGAAACCATGCATGAAGACTTTTGGGAAAACATGTGTAGCACATGAAAGTAGACGCAGGTGAAGCAAGAAAGATAAATACAAAAGCAGGTGAAATACTCACTGTCATGAAAGGTGTGAATGTACAAGGTTCAGTGTATGATAACTGATGTGAAAAGAAACAATTACAAATAACATTGCAGAATATCACGGATGGCAAAAATGAGCGTTTGCTATATGAACCTATTGTAGATGCTAATTTGGTTTTCGTTTTGTGCCACTTGTCATTCAAGTCGTGGGGCAAGTGTAAGGAGGAGTATCACTATACACGAATACAACTTACCAGTTGGTTGTGGTGGGCAGTCACCGTTGATTTTAGGCACGTTGGGTTTTACGCAAATCCAACGATACTTCAAAAGAAAAGTGGAAGGTTACAACGCACAAGACAAGACAGCAATAGTGTAATTTGCCGTTCAACTTTGAAGTTAAGCACGGCAAGATATGGCACAGTTTTTTTGGTGTCGGCGCTTGGATGATTCAATTGCGCATCATATAGATACTTCAACTAATTTTTGTGTTTATTGTAAATGTAGCGCCCGTTAAAGCGGTTCAAAGGAAAGATGGTTTAGGATATGTAGGGACATGAGTACATGTGAGAATGGCAAGGTTTGTAGAATTGTTGATGTAGCATACACCAGACAATATATAGGGAGGAAAGGTCAATGATGCAATTTGATGAATTCCGTGTTGACAACTGTAGAATTGGACTGATGAAAATTACCCGTGTCATGATGATATGGCCTTTAAACGGGAAGGGCGCTATATCCAGCAGTTAGATTGTGTCAGCAGAATGAAAGTAGGACGGACATGAAAAGAATAGTACAACGACGACCAAGAAGAAATTTTGGAGAAGAAAAAGCGATGCAGACAAGACAACTTGGAAAGGTTGAAAGAGGAACATAGAGAGTATTACGAGGAACATAAAGAGTAACGAAGCGATTACGGAAAGAAGTACTACGAAGAAAAACAAGGACAAATTGTTAGATAACTTGAGGGCACACACAGAAAACAAAAGGAGGCAATGAAAACAATGTGGAAGACATATCACGAAGGCAACAGAAAACGCAATACAGGAAAAACGACCTGAAAACCGAGTGCGAATGCGGTGGGCCATACACAAGAGACAGTCGGGCTCAACATTTCAGAACACCAAAACACAAGAATTATGTCAAGCAGTTAGAAGATTAACAATACTGTTTTGTCTACTATAAGAATTTCAAGATATTATAAGCAGTATCTATTATGACCGCTCGGGGTTTGGGAGTAGGGCAATTACTTTGGAAGATGCCCGAGAGAAGGATAGAAGTATTACGAAAGAGGATGTTGAGGCAGCCGTTAGATGAGATGACATTCCTGACCAAAAGTTTAAAGTTGGTGCGAGAATGGTAGATGTTTTCTCCAAGTAGGTGGTTGTTATACCTATGACAGGCAGGCACACAAAACACAAATATGCGCGCATTTAGCATGAAAAATGGAGCTGCATGCTACAAGACACCCATCAAAGATGTCCGATCTCAGCTTCGCCTTTGGTTAAAGATAGTCTTGGCGAGTGAATCTGAGAAGCCTCAGGAGCACACACCATGGATGTACACAGGGTACGTACAAGCTCTCGCATGCGTTGCAGGGCAGTGGCTTCTGCCTGACATTCGAATGTCGGGTGACCAGGAAGTGTGAAATATCGTGGGTCTGCAATGGGTGGGTTTGCAACGGCATGCTCGAGGACGTTCATCACAACCATTTCTGGTCCACATCTGCTGCGACAACTGCAAGGTGCACATGATCCCGCCGGGACGTAGATTGCAAAACCCGAGGTTCACCTCCGAAAGCCATGAGACGGGAAAACCCACACACAAATTATGTACAAGGGGTTTAGTGAGTTTAGTGCCTCCCCACGCAAAAATGTATTTGTTGTGACGCCACGTGCCATGAGACTGCCCGCAGTTTTCTTCTACAGTAGACATGGAATCTCAGCCATTCGGCGGCGCTTTTCTTGATTTTCAGGGATACTTATGCTTTTTAAAGCAGAAAGCTGCCATGCCAATTGCAGCCACATGGCAGAACTGCACGCACTTGGAACAGCTTCTGCAGAAAGAGATCAGTATGATTACTATTGTCATTGTTTTTCATAGTGTTCCTGCATGCATTTCTGAAACGACCGCTGCTTTTGCCAGAACCGTTCGGAAGATCCTTTTGAAACCGGGCCGCCGCAGGTTTTTTCTTTCACCAACGAAGCTCATCTTTTAGCGCCAGGGTTTCCCACCCTTGGGATTTTTCGGCCGCTCTGTCGCAGATGATGTTCGCAGCATCAAGCCTTCACATCTTGGTGGTGATGTGGGCCAGCTGCCAGTGTTTCAAGATGGTTGACCTTCCGAACGGGGTAGACCAAGAAGACCCTGTCGAACCAGCAGAAGTCGTCAGTGCCCAGGGCGACGGACTGGGCGGGCTCACTCAGAACTTGAACTTCCTGCTAACGAAAGTCGCTCAGCTTGAAACTCTTGCTGAGATGCAGCAGGCAGAGATTGCATCCTTGAAGACCAGCGACAAGATGCACCTCATGGAGATCGAATCTTTGAAGAAGGTGACGGGTTTGAGGGAGACTGATCCGAAGCACTTTGGGATTCTGCTGGAAGAGGCGGAGTCTCTGCAAAAAAACGCCGAGACCCACCTGCATGAGACGACGGAGATCATGAAGAAAGTATGGAGCAAGCACGAGCGACAGCGCCGGTCGGGACTCCGGGCCGTTTTTCATTCATTTCAGCTTAGGCCTGGCCGCCGATGGTCTTTCCCATTCCTTTGTATCGTAGGGAGTGCAGAACGAAGAAAAGCAAATTTGATGCCCATCGCACACCTGAAACCCGAGAGCTTCTGAGAGAGCCCAGGAGAGTTCCATCAGCGCCCCGGTGTTGAAGATTCAGCGGCCGGTCGGCAAGCAACCGGTTTTTTTGGGGGCACCGCGAGGTAGATAACAACAGCATGATTTCACCAAGCTGGGGCAAGAAGCCTTCTATCTGACCCTCATCGAGTTCCCTGACAAGCCCTTGCCTTACCTAAACCCTAAACCCTAAACTCCAAACCCCAAACCCTAAAACCTAAACTCTAGACTCTAAACTCTAACCTCTAAACCCTAAACCCTAAAACTTAAACCCTAAACCCTGCACTCTAAACTCTAAACCGTGAAAGCCGAAGAAGAAATTGAGCCATCCGCAACCCTAAACCCTGAACGCCCGAAGCCCTCAACCCCTAAACCCCCAACCTTAAGTTGGGTTTAGGGTTTAGGGTTTAGGGTTTAGGGTTTAGGATTTATGGTTTAGGGTCCCAACCTTAAGTTCTCAACCCTAAACCCTCAAGCAAAGGATAAGTTCTAACAGGTACATCTCTCAATATTTCTCAATAAGATAAGCAACATCAGTTTCATGGCATGTCGGATTCAATGCACGAAAGGGCACTGAATTTCCTCGGGCATCCATCACTTCAATTTACTTGCACCACGCCTTTGGAGAGTGAAAAGCCGCACAAACTAGGGCGAGATGCGTCAGCACTTGCCGAAGAGTGCATAAAATCAGGCTTTCAACGGAAGACATGCAAAGAATCATGTTTGGAGAGTGAAAATGGGGAGCACTGCAACAGAGATGGATTTGGCGGGCAAGAATGTGCGCAAAGAGCAACAAAGCCGCTCAAGTTTTGAACCCACCCAAAACCATAGATGACCCCTAATAAGAGAAGCACCAATAGTTTTCTGGTATTTCAGCACCAATGCACGACAGTGCAATGAATTATGAACTCTTTCGGGCATCCATCAAATGAATTAATTACATCACCACCTTGACCGTAAACCCTAAACCCTCCACCCTAAAAATCAACCCGAGAGGCCAACGAAAACTTCGGACTGCCAAAATGTACCACAAATTCCCGAAACATGTTAAATCCTGCTTTGGAGAGTGGAACGTTTCAAAAAGAGGGGTGAGGAGCACCAAAAATTGCAAAAAGCCTGCCAAACACGCACTAACTCAGATTTGGAGAGTGGCAACTTCAAAAAACAGGGTGCGGACCACCCAAGATTGCGAAAACCCAGAAGCAATCAAAGGAAAACGCTCAGCATTCGCACAAGACACCGGCAAAACCCGCTCAAAACCCCTGCAGCTGAACCCTGCACAACCGAAAGCTTGCGCTAAACCCTAAACCCTAAACCACCGCCAAAACACCGTCAACACCCGCCCCAAAAAACCTGGACCTGCACCCCATAATTACAGTTTCTACCAACTCTCAACCCTAAACCCTACACCCCCCAAACCCCAAACCCTAAACCCTGAACCTTCAACCCGACACCCCTAAACTCTCAACCCTAAACCCTGCACCGCCTAGACCCTCAACCCTAAAGCCGACAATCCTCAAGCCTAAGCTCTAAACCCAGAGACTCCAATATCCCTTAATTCAGGAATATACCTTAAATTATAGTAGGATCCCTAACATAATTTAAGGTAGATTCCTTAATAAAGGGATATTGGAGTCTCTGGGAACCTCCCCAAGCAGTCGAGGCAGGCCTGGCGGCAGAGAAGACCGGCGAGAATGCAACCCGGCTCGTTCCGTTCAGGGTTTAGGGTTTAGGGTTCAGGGTTCAGGGTTTGGGGTTTAGGATTTGATGTTTAGGGTTTAGGGTTTAGGGTTCAGGGTTTAGGATTTATGCATGAGGATTTTGGGCATAGGGGTATTCTTGGGATGCGGCGTTGTTGAGGTATCTAAACCCTAAACCCTAAACCCTAAACCCTAAGCCCTGAAGGTTGGCAGGGTTTTAGGGTTGAAACCTTTCAGGGCTCAAAGCTTCAGGTTTCCGCTTTTGGTGTTTAGGGTTTAGGGTTTGGGTTTTAGGATTTGGTGTTTAGGGTTTCGGGTTTAGGGTTTGGGATTCGGGGGGTTTGGGGCTTGGGGCTTACTTGGAGGTTCATGGGTAGTTATAAGTGGAGTTCTAAGTACCCTACTATAGGTTATAACTCTAGCTACCCTACTTATAACCCTACTTCTAACTACCCATGAACCTCCAAGTAGAGTTCAGGGTGTCAGCCTCAGAAGTCTCGCCTCAAGCCCTCAGCCGAAGGCAGCGTGTGGAAACCCTAAACCCCAAACCGGAGATCCCCAAAAACCCCGAACCAGTAGCACTTAATGGGTTCCTTTAAGGGTTCCTTAAGGGGTTAAGGGGTTTAGGGTTTAGGGACTACTTGGAGGTTCATGGGTAGTTATAAGTAGGGCTATAAGGAGGGTAATAGGGTACCTATAGCTCCACGTATAACTACCCCTGAACCTCCAAGTAAGCCCTCAATTAAGGAAAAGGAGATCCGTAAACCCTAAACCCTAAACCCTAAACCCTAAACCCTAAACCCTAAACCCTAAACCGATCCCGCAGCCAGGCAACCTGGGGCCGTGTCGGGCGCGCCTTCCGCAAGGCGACGAACCATGTCAAGAACTTTGCCGACGATCCGGTTGGTGCGTTGGAGGATTGAGGGGCTTCCAAAGCTCTGTAAAGAAGGAGTCTTAGGGCTATTAGGGTTTAGGGTTTAGGGTTTAGGGTTTTAGGGTTTTTAGAGTTTGGGGTTTAGGGTTTAAGATTCCTGTGTATGTTGAGTTAGAGGCTTCCAAACTCTTCAAAGACGGAAAATACTTCAGTGACATCGGTAGTTATGTAAATAAGGGTCCTTTTTTACGTCCCCAAAATAGTACGGCACCCGTGTCATAAGGACCCTGAAAGCGACCCTGCTTTCGAGAACTACCCACATGATAAGGATTCCTGTGTATGTTGAGGCATGTTTTTAGCAACACACCCTTTTTCCAAGGGGTTTTGGACCACTGCAGGACGGATGGAATGCAGCGAAGAACCCGCAAGACAAGGAGTCTCGGGACAGTTTTTTGGATTTTTTGGAGGGGTGACAGGATCTAAGGTTCATGGCTTGGAAGTTCCCAACCCCTAAACCCTTAAAGCCCGAAGCCGGAGATTCTCCTGATACTGCTCTGGCGCCTTTAGATTACATTGGCATGTTGCAGTATACAGGTCTTACTGGTATTGCAATGCAGGGAACCTACCCCAAAACCCTAAACCCTGAACCCCAAACCGTGGTAAGTTGTAGTAGTAGCTACTTCAGGCTTTTGGTTGTAGGACGGCCCGCACTTCGCCAAAAGCAAAATTTGTTGAGGGTTTGGGGTTTAGGGTTTAGGGTTCGGGGTTTAGGGTTTGCGGTCTGGGGTTTGGGGTGCAGGGTTTAGGGTTCAGGGTTTAGCGAGGGACTTCGCCAGGTGAATTGGGCCCACAAGCAGCTCAGTGAGCATACGATTTCCACCGTGGAGCAAGCATCGAAGATCCTGCAGGTGCTCGGTCTTTCAGGCTTCTCTGAGTTCAGCGTGAGCCTTTCAATGACTCGCAAACCCAGCTTCAAGTCCTTCAACAAGGACGGAGTGAAGATTGATTTCGGGCAGTTCAAGTTCAAAATCTCCTTGGTGGGCGAGTCGGTTTCGAAGTCTTTGAACTTCGGCGAGAAAAGTATTGGCTTGCCCAGGGAATTGAAGACCGTCGTGGAGGGGGGCAACAACCCAATCAAGGGGATGTTCGTGTTCTTCAAGGAGCTCGTGAAATGCAAAGATTCGGGGAAGTTCAGCGAGATGGCCAAGTGCGTGGGCGACCACATCCGACGTCTTCAGCCTCCTTTAGGCTTCTTGCCATCGCCGGTGAGGACCCTTGCGAGGGCTCCCCTTGCAGCCATCCAGGCACAGATCACGGCTGGAAAAGAGCTGGTCGACTGCATCAATAGGGACAAGGCCGGCCCTAAACCCTAAACCCTAAACCCTAAACCCGAAACCCTAAACGCCAAACCGTGAACCCAAATGCCTCAACCCTGACAAGGCCGATGATCTCATGAAATGTCTCGGCACCAAGATCATCGCCCAGACTCCCCCGTTGAACTTCTTGAATCACTTGAGCGACTTCGTGACGGACTGGCCGCCATCTAACAAGATGCTAACCTAAAGCAGGAAACTCTAAATTCCTTGATTCTTGGTGCTCTGTTGGGCGTCTGGTTTCGGAATAGAGGGGTTGAAAGTCAGGCAGTGTCGGATAGGAGAGGACTTTCAGCAGCCGTTTCAGCTTCTTCAATCAACATGATGAGCAAGCTAAGTATCGCATCGTTCCCAGAAGCTGCCTCAAGTGTTCAACGTTTGTATCTTGCACACCCTAAACAAGTGAAACTTTACCTGTTGTGAATAGCGTACTGTTTTACGCAAAGATGCCTGCTCAGTCATCGAACTCGAATACTTTTTCTATTTGTGCGCTACTTTTGGACGATTGTCTGGATTCTCTGCTGAACATCCAGTCTAGTGTCATCGTTGGTGTCATCGTCGTGCTGTCTCCGTATGAGCGAGGCAGCTATGCATGTTGTCCGGGCAATGTCAACATGTTGCATATATGCAAAGAAGCAGCAGGCATGGGTTATTTTTGTCACAGTGGCACGGTTGGATGCGTATATCCAAAGAAGATTGTCAACTGACTTGACTGTCAAAACCCACAAACATCCTCGACTCGAGGCATTCTGCAACCGCATCCTCATCGAATCTTTTCGCCTCCGTCGTTTCGTACATCTTCAGCCCTCAACCCAAAACTGGTTTCTTGTTACGGGAGTTAACTTAAGTTACCATAACAGGGATCTACAGTAAGCTTCCTTATTATGGTAACTTCCTTAACAAGACCCTAAACCCTAAACCCTAAACCCTAAACCCTAAGAACCTAGGAAAGCTCCACCCTAAATTCCCAGAGCACCAAAGACGGAGCCCTGAGATGCGAAACCCTCAAAGCAGGACCCTGCCTGTCCCAAATTGTTACATGGGTAGTTCTCTAAAATAGGGTCCCTTTTTGGGTCCCCAATATAGTGCGGCACCCTTATGAAAAAATGACCCTAAAAAGGGACCCTAATGTAGGGAGCTACCCGCATATTGTTGCTGATCTGGTTACAAGAACCTTTGCAGCCCCCTCTATACACTTAGGGCCGAACGCCCCGACCTTGCAGCCCACGAGAGGACTTTGTCGAAGTTTTCGCGAAGATCACGGCAGCTGTGGTGGAGAAGGCAGGTGGTTGGAAGCACAATAGCGAAGCCTGTGCCCTGCCGTTTATATCCATAGGAAACCCCAAACCCCAAAACCTGAACCTTGAATTTGGGAGGCAGGGTTCGGGTAGGCCTTCTACTTTCAAACTGTTAACGAAGCCTCAAAACTCTAAACCCATATTGAACCCAACAGGCCCATAGACACTATTTTTTCCGAGGCTTTCTAACACTCTTTTCACGCACGGAGTGCAACTTCGGAGGCCATGGAGGATGGCCCCGCGCTGGTGCAGACGGCCGCCACCTCTGCGTTCCCGAAACCCGGTGACAAGCGACAGGTTCCTGAGTTCTCCAATAGGGTTTAGTGTTTCGGGTTTAGGGGTTCGGGTTTGGGTTTAGCGTTTAGGGTTTAGGTCAGGGTTTAGGGTTTCGGCGGTTTCGGGTTTAGTATCCCGACCTTCAAACTTTTTGGGTTCTTATGACTTAGTAGTAGCTTGAAAGTTTAATGTAGGAACCTGATTAAGCAACCCTGGCCCCATAACCCCAATATATTAAGGCTCATATTAAAAACCCCAATAAGGCCCAGGGTTTCTTAATCAGGTCCCTACATGAACCTATTATTTTCGTGGTCTTATTGGGGGAGGTATGGTTCCTTAGGAGCAGGGTTTTTTTCGGTGATTTGGCGTTGCAGTTGTCTGCCAGACGCCTGAAAGCTCAGGCTGATTTGTATTTTTTTATCAGCCCTGTTGCACATAAAAAAATACATATCTATATATATTATATATATATATATGTATACATATGTATATATATATATACGTACACATGTACTTATGTGGGCGGTATTTACGATACCAGACGAGGGTCGGTAGTTCATGGGGGGTTACCAGAAATATATATATATATATATATACATATGCATATATATATATATATAAAGAAACATACATATGCATACGCATGCACATGCGCACAGTTGTTTATTTCAATGACGGCTCGCTATGGTGGTAATGAATCCTGTTTTGGCTGTGAGCTAGGGTGCTCAGGTGCACCACCGGAGTACCAACCTTATCGTGGAGTCCCACTCGCACCAGTCGGGACGTTCCTGGATGCCCCGAGAAACTGGGTTCTTGTTCAAGATTTTTCGTGTAAGTTGCCATATGAGGTATAGATAGATAGATAGATAGATAGATAGATAGTAAACGGTATGGTTTCCTGATTATGGCCTTGACAAGAACCCAGGAAGTGTCAGCCTTGCAGGAGAACTCGGAGGGTGCCCCTAACACCGGCGCCATCACCTACAAGATGGGGAATGGGGACGATGTGCATGCCACCGCCTTGATTACTCAGTTCGACGGAAAAGAAACGGCTACCAGCTCCTGCTTGGCTTTCGCCCCGAAGACCAGATCCCGGAGCGACAAGAAAGTCACCAAGGGCGACTGGCAGGCGCATTCTGTGACCTGTGGTTTGGGGTTTAGGCGTTAGGGTGTGGTTTTGCTTGGATTGCGCGGCTACTTGAAGTGCGTTATTGCGACCTCGTTACAAAGTGGACGTTTAGATGTGACACTACCAGTAGCTACTCGTACCAGTATTGCCCAGCTATGCTTACGAGTGCTCCGGCTCTTACAAAAGCAGTTTCTGACGACTGGTGACAACGATGCTTATCATCAGAATGAACATCCAGGCCGTCGTCTATCGTCACCACTGCCATCAGTGCCATCGTCATCGCGACCGCAGTCTTCGTATAATGACATGCCGTATCATCTTTTGCATCTTTTTCTTGTTCCCGTTTATCTTGCACCTCAGTTTGTCACCAGCGGTGTCGTCACCATCATCACCATCATCGCCATCATAGCCGTCATAGCCATCATCACCAGCATCTCCGCCATCACCATCACCATCATCAGCACCATCGCCACCATCGCTATCATCACCTCATCACCATTACCAGCATCGTATCATCATCGTCGTCATCGTCATCGCCATCATCATTATCATCATCACCACCATCATCATCATCATCACCACCATTATCACCATCATCGCCATCATCGCCACACTATTATCACCATTCCCAGCGTCGTATCATCATCATCATGATCCTCGGCATCGTCATCCTCATCTTCATCATCAGCAGCAGCAGCGGCAGCAACATCATCAGCATCATCGCAAGGCCGCTGTTTGTTGGTTCTCTGTTGCCATTGCTGGCATCGCTGCCTCATATTCCCTGGGCCTAGCCCTTTAACCCCCGTTCTTGCTGTAGATCCCTCCTCACACCTAAAACCCCAATCCCGAAACAGGCCATTCAACCCTAAACCCTAAACCCCAAAACCTAAACCCGAAGCCCTAAACCCCGCCCTGAACCCGGCCCACAGCTCGTTCTTCCCTGGCCCGGGAGAGGCCCTCGGTGTTGGAGGTTTACGCACTACAGCGGTTGAGGGTGGTCCTTCCTGAACCCCGATTCCTCTGTACGGAAGGTGCTCCCAGTTCCTCCTCAGAGTGTTTCTTATAACCACAAGGGTTTGGGCGGTTCGGGGTGATGTAGGAACCCTAAACCTTAAGCCGCCCTAGCTAGGGGTGTGCCACAACCACGACCGTTCAGCATCCGAGGGGTTCGCAGACGAATTCCCCGCACGCAGGAAAGCTTGTTGAAGTCCCAAAGACCCTAAACCCTTCAGATTTGAAGTTGCAACACAGAGTGCCCTGCAATTTCTCGAAAGCACATGGCATAACATGAAGAAACGAACCCTAGGTCTCGAGGATCCCTACAAAGTCCACATAGCGTGCTACAACCTGCAGCGAGTGCACCAATCAGCACAGCTGGCGCATGGGGTCGTGGTTGTCCGATTCCAAATCCTGCTTCGATCGGGGGCCAGCTTGGGTTCGGGACTCTGTGAACAAATTCACCGGCAATCTTGCTGGTATCGACAGGATATCTTTAGGTAGCTCAACGTGCACAATGGCATACTTACTATACACCCAACATGGGTCTTGGCATTCCTGAACTGCGAAATCAAAATAATTCGGAGTAAATTATCATGCTTGTGCAAATGACTTGCCAAGCAAGAAGTTGACCTCCACTCTGCATCGGAATCGAGCTACTTTCGCACGTTGGGCCTTCAGTTTAGGGCCTTAAACCCTAAACCAAGCGACTCAAAGCCCAAAGCCTTAAACTTTACCCACAAAGCCGGTCAGGTGGAGAATAAGGGCGACTTCCTTCAGCTTGAACCTTGGGCCGTGCCATGTGACAACCAGTGGATGAAGGCGCCAACCCGTGTCAAGGGTTTAGGGGTTTTGAACCTTCGTGTTTAGGGGTTGAGAGCCCTGAACCCTCTTCCCTAACCCTAAACTCTTGTCCCCAAACCCTGAACTCAAAAAAAAAACCTAAACCCTAATCCGTTCAAGGTTTGGGGTTTAGGGTTCAACCTTCGGCCCGAAAGCCGTAAACCGTACAACCTAAACGTTAGCTCCTAAAGTGCCACCACAAAAGGTTCCCTACCGAGACAGCGGTTTGCAGATTTTCTATGGATGAAGTCCTCAAGCCTGTCCTCAAAGTTCCGTTTTGAGGTCTAGGTTTTAGCCTCAGTGCCCATCGCATCAACCTAAAACCAAAAGCGTGATTCCTAAACCCTCATCCCAAAACCTTAAACCCGAAACCCTAGGCCTTAATCGCTTGACAACCCTAAACCCAACTCTTTCGAGCGCTCCGTTTCCATACGTTTTCATTGGGATATAGTGCTGGGGCTCGAATCGTTAGAAACAGGGTTTTGGGGAATGTTGTGCTATAAGTATACCTCAAACTACCAAACCATACTTTCTTGTGGCCAATAATACTATGGAATTTTTAGGGACCCTACAAAACACTAGGTTTTGGTAGGTTAAGGTAAGAAGAGGAGCCTGGAGGAACAGCATTATTGGCTATTCAGGCGTCTATATCACGAGAAGAAACAGTATGGAATGATAATGTGTACCTCTGGCCCTAACGGCTTTTTTGGGGAGTTTCTTGGAGGGTTGTCCTGGCGCTTTCCAGACTTCATGTAGACCCCTGCCTTACAAATAGGAAACCTCCTTTCCCGAATACGGGTTCTACAGGAATCTGTGATAGAATCCCAACATGAAGGCCTTTTCTTGGCACTTAGATAATTGGTGGTCGTAGAGAAGCAACTAGCAAGGACTCGAACAAGTATAGCAACAGAAGCTGCAACACGTCGAGATGCGAGAAACAAAACGATCAGAACAAGGGAAGTTCTCTAAATTAGGCTCCCTTTCAGGGTCCGTTTCACAAAGGGTGCCGTACTAATTTGGGGACTTCAAATCGGACCCTAATTTAGAGAACTACTCTCAGGGGGGGGGAAGTATAGCGTCATGTAAAGACTTCGGTTAATTTGAATGACTGATTGTGCAGAGAATGCAGCGATGAGGCTGCACGCATGTTACTGAGACCGAACATATAACACGACTTACAACGGATGAGAAGCATCTCAATGCCAAGCACAAGCTGATTAGAAGCAGTACCGAGACTGTCGCTGACACAAAGGGTATCACCAATGGTACAGTTCTTACGATAATTCACAGATAGCTACTAGTACCAGGAAAAACAGCGAGGGCATGCCAGATAACGAAAGCTATCTGTAAAATAAGAGCACCTGTGCGTTTGTTAATCATGGCGAGGGTGATAGTCGTGAATGTGTGCTGACGATGTGCAGGGCGACAATCGAAAGTCATGGGAACTAAGAGGATAGTCAAATGAAAAAGCTTGTATGGGCGCAAAAGAATCAACATGGTCGAATCAACATGGGAAGAATTCAATTCGCATCTCGCAAGACAATGGCAGAGGTGCCAGCAAGACTCTGAGAATATTGCGGAGAACAAAAGGACGGGAATGCAAACCCTAAACCCTAAACCCTAAACCCTAAACCCTAAGCCCTAAGCCCTAAACCCTAAACCCTGAACCCTGAACCCTAAACCCTAAACCCCTAAACCATCATAAGCAACCGCACGCTTCTGTTCGGCACCTCAAAAAGACCTGCAAAGCAATGTCTGCAGCATGCGATTAGGAAGAAAGCAGTTATCACAGCAAGGTGACAAGAGTGAAACGGGAGTAAGGACTGGAAGAGCACAGCAAGAGCTACGCATACGAGAAACAAGTATAAAGCGCATTGCACGAGCAGGAGAGACACTGGCTATGAGAAGACTTAATATATAGCACTGAGAGGCCATGACCGGCAAGATTATTATCATGACAATTTGCAAGTTATGTGGTAGAGCTGGTGAGAACACTAGTGATAACTCATATAACACTTGGCAAGTGTTGAAGTACCACCATGAACTACGAGGGCAACAAGGACCGCACTCTGCCATAATCTCGCTTCTGTCTTCTGTACAGTCCAGGACAACAGGCTAGAGGGAGCATGGGCAATTTGTGTGTCCTTCCTTTCGTCGTTTATGTCGCAAATACTTAGACGATGCCCCTTCAAAGGTCAAGGACCTTTGCAGCAGCAGCAGCAGCCACGACATTATGAGCAGTAGCAGCAGCTACTGCGAAGAAGGGAAGAGAGTAGCAGCATCACGCCCGTACGCCCTAAACCCTGAACCCTAAACCCGAAACCTAAGTGCCTTAACAGAAACGGTCAGAAGATTGTTGCATGCAGCCCTACATGTAGCGTCGGACGAGGAGAGACTAAAGGTTAAGCGGTTTAAACCCGAAGCCCGAAACCCGAAGCTTTGCCGCAACCATACTTGAGTAAGGACAACGTCAACAAGTGGCAGGGCTATTCATTCTACACCAGCTCGCTGGCGATTGAGAAGTTTGGCAGCAATACTTTGTTTCAGTCAGCCTCCTGCAGCAGCATCCTTCCTTGTCTTTCCCTTCTTTTCCTGCCGCATGTGCTACTGCCTTTCCAAGCAGCCGTGGTTCTGTGACTGGGGCTATGGTGGTATTCATGTGGGTGGTTGTCAAAATTATGGTCCCTTTTTGGGTCCTTATTATAATACGGTACCTATTATTTAGGGTACCCCAAAAGGGACCATCATTTAGAGAACTACCCATGAAACCTGAGCTCTTCGTGTTGAAGCTTGTCACATCGACTCCCTAAACCCTAAACCCTAGACCCAAAACCCTCAACCCTAAACCCTAAACGGTAGGAAATGCGTGACGGTGACCTTCCAGCTTGGCTTGCAACCTGTGGTGGCCCTCATCGGCGGCCTTCAATTCGAGATCCTCCCGAAACTTGGCGGAGGGAGAAGATTTGAGAGGTTCAGGGTTTAAGGTTTTAGGGTTAGTGGATTAGTGTTTAGGGTTTAGGGGTTTAGGGGTTTAGGGGTTCAGGGTTTAAGGTTTTAGGGTTAGTGGATTAGGGTTTAGGGGTTTAGGGGTTTAGGGGTTAAGGGGTTCAGGGGTTTAGGGGGTTGAGGGGTTTAGGGGTTTAGGGGTTTAGGGTTGTTTAGGGGTTTGGGGTTTAGGGTTTATTTCCTGAGTTCAGAGAATCTTGAGCCAGAGTTTGGAAAGAGCGGTCGAGCGAAGTTCCTCAGGGCGACTCAGCAGTGAGCCCTGTCGTTCTTGGTGCACTCTTTCCGCTTTTGGCTGATAGACGACTTCAATTCCGGACATGGTGTTTCGCACTGCTAAAGTTTGTTCTCACGGGCCCCAAACCCTAAACCCTCAACCCTCAACCCCAAACCCTAAACCCTAAACCCTCAACCCTAAACCCTAAACCGCCTATGTTACCTCTTCCCGATGGTTCTTGCCAAATCGTCTCCTCTCGGCTAAGCAAACTCTAAAGAAGTAGTTCCTGTGCAGGGCTTCAATGCCGGTTTAGGGTTTCGGGTTTAGGGTTTAGGGTTTAGGGCTTCGGGTTTAGGGTTTGGGGTTTACGGTTTAGGGTTTAGGGTTTAGGGGCCATTCACCTCCACAATGGCTGGTGCTGAGGGTTCCAAAGATCGGGACTTATGCTTTCGAGTTTATTCCCACTTGGTTCTTAAACGGGAGTTTCCGAAAATATGGGTACCTTATTTTGGGGTTCCTTACAATAGGGTCCCCTATTTTCGGACTCCCCCAAATAACCACAGTTTTATGATACCCCCCCCCCCCCCCCCAAAACGCTTTGAATTATTCAGGCCCCTATATCAGCCCTAAACCCTCAACCCAAAACCCTAAACCCTGCCGTGGCTGGTTCATGTGATATCTCCTGTCCCGGATCTCCGAAGAACCCTTAGCCCTAAACCCTTAACCCTAATTTAAACCCCAAACCCTAAACCCTAAACCCTAAACCCCAAACTTTAAACCAGAGTAGTGCTTCAGCTCCGGGTTTCGGGTTTAGGGCTCGGGTTCAGGGCCTGATTTAGGGTTGGGGGTTGGGGGTTTAGGGTTTACGGTTTAGGGTTTAGGGTTTCAGGTTTAGGGTTTATGGTTGAAGGGTTTATGGTTGAGGGTGTAGCGTTTAGGGTTTAGGGTTTCGGGTTTAGGGTTGAGGGTTTCAGGTTTAGGGTTTCAGGTCTAGGGTTTAGGGTTGAGGGTGTCAGGTTTTTCGCAACCCCCTAGACAGTAGTACTCATCACAGTGTAGTAGGCTATTAAGGATTTGTAAACCCTAAACCCTAAACCCTAAACTCCTAAACCCTAAACCCTAAACCCTAAACCCTACTTGATTCATGAAGCTAGCTTGGCCTGAACAAGGCTGGCTCAAGCTTCAGCAATCAAACCGTGATCCCTGAACGCCAGACGCTACAAAGCCTAGACCCGAAACCCTAAACCCCAAACCCTAAACCCTAAGCCCTAGACCCTAAACCTAAACCCCTGAACCCTGAACCCTAAAATATCCTAAACCCGAAATCCTAAATCCTGAACCAGATCCCGAATCTCTAAATCCCAACCCTGAGCCCATGCAAGCCGCTATCAAGCTAGGGGGTTTAGGGTGAAGGGTTTAGGTAGACCCCTTATGAACTTTTTCTTGGAACTCCACTTCAGGAAACCCTTGTAGAGCCCTTAAGAAGCCTGCACAGAATCCTCCTGAGCGCTAGGCCCCAAACCCCAAACCCGAAACCATAGAGCCTGCACCCCAAACCCTAAACCCTAAGATCCTAAACCCTAAGCGCTTAACCCCTAGACCCCAACGCTCTAAACCTCGAACCCTAGAAGGAAGCCCCTCTTCGAGCTTGCAAGTACCGACTCCTGTCTTTGAGTTGGCTCCAAGGGTTGTTTAGGGTTGAGGGTTGCTGGAGTTTAGGGTTTAGGGTTTAGGGTCGCTGGAGTTTAGGGTTTAGGGTTTAGGGTTGAGGGTTTCTGGAGTTTAGAGTTGAGTCTGTAGGATTCAGGATTTTCGGTGAAAGCTGGAACTGTAATCCTACCTGCCTTCACCCTGCTTTTTGAGTTCTTTGTTCGGAATGTGCCGAAAGGGCCGCACAGGCTACGTAAGGTCTGGGATCCCGGGATTTTCAAGATTGTTGTGTGCTTTGGATGGATTTAATCGATCCTCTTCGGCTCGTTGCCTTACTTGACCCTAAACCCGAAACCCTAAACTCTAAATTAAACTTAACTTCCTGTTGCGTTTCGGGCCCTTGGTTCCCTCTTTGTGCTCCGGCAGGGCTTTCTTACATGCATGACAGCTAGGGTACCTACGAAAAGGAGTGGGATGCACTTTCTGGCTTGTTTAAAGAGTGCCCAAAGACCGTAACCCTGCGTTTAGGTCGCTGAGTTTTCTAGGTAGGTGAGCGCGCTCCTGCTGCTGCTAAGGCTCTTGCCATTTCTGCTACTGCTGCTTCTGCTACTGCCACTGCTAATGCTCTTGCTGATACTGCTGCTGCTGCAGCTGCTGCTGCTGCTACTGCAACTGCTATTGCGACTGACTGCCACTGCGACTCACTCCTCCTCCTCCTCCTCCTGCTTCTCCAAGCACTCACTGACGCTGGTGCTACGACTCCTACTAGTACTACTAGTACTACTAGTAAGTAGTACTACTCCTACTCCTACTCCTACTCCAACTCCTACTCCCACTCATCCCCTCCTCCTCCTCCTCCTACTACTACTACTACTACTACTACTCCTTCTGCTGCTATTACTGCTATTACTACTGCTACTGCTACTACTACTGCTGCTGCCATTACTACTGCTGCTGCTACTACTACTACTACTACTACTACTACTACTCCTACTACTACTCCTACTCCTACTACTACTACTACTACTACTACTACTACTACCACTACTACTACTACTACTACTACTACTACTACTACTACTAGCCTAGCCACCCCCCCTACGACCTACACCTCGTCATCGTTATGAACATCAGCATCATCGACATCATCCCAAAATCATGATCAACATCATCCAAAGATTATCATCAACATCATCCTAACATCATCCTCCAACACACTTGCTCTTAAACATGTTCAAGCAACATCCATTTTACTCGATATTTATTGCACTTTCGTCATGTAGGATCATCTTGTGAAGCCTTAAAGTCGACTTGTCGAGTTTGCAAACTCGAGCTTAGGATTTTGGACTGGCATTTTTTTGGCGGGTGGTGTGCGCGGGAAGCAGTGTCGTGATCATCCTCGGGAAGAGCTTCCCCCCACCCAATTACGAGTTTTCGCCGAAAGCCCTCCGAAATCCCAAGGTCGAGTCACAAAGTCCAGAAGTAGCGGTGGCAACTATATAAGAAAATGCGACATCACGAAAGTACTGTAAATAGCGAGTACAACGGCTCTTGTGGTGAAAAGGTTGGTTGTGTTTGCGTAGCACTATCGTCATCATCCCCCCCCACCCCCCAGAAGCAAGTCCAAAATCAAGAGGCCGAGTTTGCAATCTCGGCAAATCTTTTGAGGCTTCTTGTGATGATCGTACATGACGAAAGTGCTGCAAGCACCGAGTAAAACGGATGTGCTCCTAAGATGGTTTAGAGCAAGTGTAGTTGGTAGAGGGGGCGCCTACTACTCGTAGGGCTGCTGCTGTCGTAAACATCGGGAATCCTCACTGCGGTCGTAAACCTATCATTTCAGCAACGATAAGCAGAAAATACCGCTCTCTGTCACAGTCAGACCATTATCTGCACTACTGTCAGTCTCAATCTGAATCTTCAGTAGATGATGCTAGATGCGTTGGAAATATTATCAGTAGAACCACAAGGATGAGATTGTACCCTTCATGTCGACATGGTGTCTGCGGAAGTCATCGTAGGTAGCCACATGAAGAGCTGCCCGAGGTTTGTTGGCCCAACCAGCAACCCGGTGGAGTGGACCTGAGCGTCTTGCGCACCGAGGTCGTGTGGGTTGCATTGCAGGTATCTAGGATCCAGGGTCGAGGGTTTCAGGGTTGGGGTTTTAGGACGGTTTGTTTGCCGTTTCTTCGATCTGCCCAGGTGCGGTCAGCCGGTATCCTGCTCTTCAGCCGCACATTGCGCTTGACGAAGCGCTTCGGCGGCGGCACGGATTTCGTACCTGAGAACGCCTACATCGGCCACCAGACGTGGCGGCACCCGGCTGGCATCTCCAAGGGCGAAAGCAGAGCCGCCTTCGATCCCATGAGTCGGACCTCTTTCTTACAGAGCAACGAGAGTCTGAATGAAAGCGCGACCGAGGAGGTCAGGGTGGGGCAGTTTAGTCTGCGGTTCTCATTACTCCTGTGTTTTTCCTCAAGACAACATGTGGGGATTGGTGGATTAGGGGTTTGGCCGATGGAATTGAGCAACTTAGGCAGGCGGTTTGCTTGTCATCTTGCTCTGGATTTCCTCTACACCCAACACATATTGCTCCCTCGACACCCAATTGACAGCTGCATGTACAGGCATTATGCACCACTTCTGCTTGTTTTTGTTCCCTGCTCTTGCTCTCGTCGTCCCTAAACCCTAAACCCTAAACCCCTAATGTGTTTCAGTGACCGGAGGTGGAAGACGCAACGGAGGACATGTATTGGAAGGCAGACTCGGAAGATCTGTATCTATGATGAATGTAGGGGCCTGACGCCGTTTGGGGTTGAGGGTTTAGCTTTGAGGGTTTAGGGGTTTAGGGTTTAGGGTTTAGGGTTTAGGGTTTAGGGTTTAGGGTTTAGGATCCTTGAGGCCCATTTTATTGAACCTGTGTTAGTAACCCTTGTTGAGTCACTTGTACTAAGCCTACCCGAACCTTAAAGGAACGGCATCTGGGCACCAGAACGTTTGGGGATCGCAGGTATCTGGCATCCAACCCTAGATCCTAAACACCAAAGCCCAGGTATCTGGCGTCCATGGACTACGGGGAGAACATGTCTGTCAACAAGACAGCAGAGCTCTTTGGTCACGACGCTGCACGGCGCATGGCACACGAGAGCGGGGACATCTTCGAGCTCTTCTCCTTCAAGCATCCTGGTATGGTCGGATTCAAAATCCGCGGTCTCTTGGACGGAAAGTCCAACCAGCTATCCATGGGTTTGGAGATGGCCTTCGGACCCTACAGGAGCCCGGACAGGGTCATACCGTTGGTTGACATCGGGAAGCAGTTCTCGATAGCCTTGGCAGGAATGCCGTTTGTGTCTAGGGCGAGCAAGAACAAAGCGATCACTGCTCTGCGCGACTTCACGCTGAAGGACATGGGAAAGGCACAGGGAATGGCTTTGAAGCCAGGAACTCAAGTCGCTCTCTACAGTCCGAAGTACGGGCGTTACGTAAAGATGAACGACAAGGGCTTGACCCGCAGTTGGACGATGACCGGCTACGGCATCCCGGACCATTGGACCAGGGAGCGGTTCACGGTGGTAGACGCGGGGGGCGGCCAGATCGCGCTGCACTGTGCCAAGTACAACCGCTATGTGGGCATCGGGGGCAGGAGCCCGAAGAGGGATGTGCATGATTTCCCCAAGGCCTGGAAGCCCTAAACCCCTAGACCCCTAAACCCTAAATGCTAAACCCCTAAACCCCAAAACCCCTAAACTCCTAAACCCTACACCCCCAAACCCCCAAAGCCCAAACCTCGGAGATAGAATCTTAAGCCGATCCTTCCCTTCCAGGGCTGGAACTCGGAGAGGTTCATTGTGGTTGAGGCTGGGAACGGAGAAGTCGGCTTCTACAACAAGGCTCACAACAGGTTCCTGAAGATGAAGCACAAGGGTTTGGGGGTTTGGGTTTAGGGTTTAGGGGTTTAGGGTCTAGGGGTTTAGGATTTAGGGTGAAGGTTCCTCAAGATGAAGCACAATGGCATGACCTTCAGCCCACATCCTTCCGAGAAGGGCGTCTTGCCCAGCAACTGGAACAAGGAGCGCTTCCGTATTCTGCCAGCAGATCGGATTCTTCAACCCGGTTCCATCATCGCCCTGCACAGTGCGAGGTGGGTGGTTCTCTAAATTTGGGTCCTTTTGTAGGGTCCCAAATATAGTACCTCCCCCTTACAACAAGGACCCTAAAAGGGACCCTAATTTAGAGAACTACCCAGGTACAACCGCTTCGTGAAGATGGATGGGAAGCATTTGGTCCGCAGTGGGAGAATGGGTATCAATAAGCTCCCGTTTCATTGGACGAAAGAGCGATTCACAGTGGCCGTTCGGATGCTTTGGAGCGCGCTTTGTGTTTGTCATTTTCGGTAACTTCGAGTTTCCAAGTCAGGGTAGACAGCCTTAAACCCTCGTCCCTAATCCCTAATCCCTAAACCCTTAACCCCTAAACCCCTAAACCCTAAACCCCTAAACCCTAAATCCTGAAACCCAAACCTTAAACCCTGAACCCTAAAACCCCAAACCCCTAAACCCTAAACCCCGAACCCTAAACCCCTAAACCCCAAACCCTGAAACCTAAACCTTAAACCCAACACCCTGAACCCTAAATCCTAAACCCCAAACCCCTAAACCGCAAACCCTAAACCCGGAAACGCCTAAACCCCTAAACCCTAAACCCGAAACCCCTAAACCCGAAGCCCCTAAACCCTAAACCCCTAAATCCTAAACCCTAAACTCTAAAAACCCTGAAACCTAAACCGTAAACCCTAAACCCCAAACCCTGAAACCTAAACCTTAAGGCCAAAAGCCCTAACACCCAGAGGTCGATGCCGGGAGCAGGCGGATCGCATTGCACAACACCAGGAACAATCGTTTCATCGGCGTGGGAAAAGCCAGCCCGCACAAGGTGGGTTCAGGTTACGGGTTTAGGGTTCAGGGTTCAGGGTTTAGGGTTTAGGGTTTAGGGTTACGGGGTTTACGGTGTAGGGGTTTAGGGTTTTGTTGTTTAGGGTCTAAGGTTTAGGGTGCAGGGTTGAGGTGGTGGGGGACGAGAACAGCACAGAAACAGAAGGATCAGAGAATGAAGAGCGTTTGGCGCTCTTTGCCGGGGCCTTTGTGCTTGTATAAGGCAGAACCTTGATGTACGTGGTCTTTTTTGGGCGCCTGGCAGGCACCCAACAAGTTTCCGAGTGGATGGGGTTCCGAGAAGTGGGAGGTGACGCCTGCTGGCGACGGACAGATCACCTTGTACAACCGAGCCAACGATCGCATGCTGCGCATGACCGGGAGCACGGTGACCAAAAGCTCGCACAAGCAGCCCAAGCACCTCCCTGTGAGTTGGACGCAGGACATCGGAAAAGAAACTTCCTGAAACTCAGGTTATAAACCCCAACTCCCTGAATAAGTCTGAATGCTGAATCCCAAACCAAACCCCCAAATCCCCAGGCCCTTCACGAATCACAAATTCATAAATCCAAGCCTCTGCACCCTTCTTAGTGGATTGCTCCCCTAAGCCTTAAACCCTACTTACTAGCTCTCCTAAGCCCGAAGCCCTACTTACAAGCCCTGAGCCCTAAACCCTAAATCCTAAGCCCTAAACCCTAAGCCCTAAAACCTGAACGACCGATCCTCCAAAGACATGGGCGCAGGAACGCTTCCACGTCGTGCATGTGGAGCCCTACCTAAAACCAGGCCCTGGAAACGAGGGCTTTAGGGGTTTAGGGTTTTTAGGGTCTTAGGGTCTTGGGGTTTAGGGGGTTAAAACTGAGTGAAGGTGATCTCGAGTTTAGGGTTCCCTGGTCTTGGGGTGAGGGTTCAGGGTTGAGGGGTTGCTCGGATTGTGATTCTTTGTGTGGCTGTGCATGTTGTTGCTGTTTCCTTAGCGTGTTTGGTCTTACCTTATGATCGGTGCAGTGGAGTAGTACGACATCTACGAACTACAGAAGTCAAAGAATGCATGGTGGTACTTAGCCCGAAACCCCAGACTCTAAGGCCCGGGTTTGGGGTTTAGGGTTTAGGGTTTGGGGTTTAGGGTTTAGGGTTTGGGGTTTAGGGTTTAAGGTTTAGGGTTTAGGGCTTCGAGCTTCGGCTTTAGGGCTTCTAAACCCTAGTATCTAACCCAAGCCAGGCACGGTGGTAGCCTTGCGCTGCAAGAAACACGGCCGCTTCCTTAAGCTGAATGCCGACTCAGCGGGCCGCAGCAGCAAGAGGGGCAAGAACGCCCTGCCGGACGCGAGGGTTTTTGGGTTTTTGTGTTGAAGGCTTCCTTTAAGGGCTTTTCAACAAAGGGTTCCAGTCATTGAGGGAATCCGGAAGGACAGCGGGATCTGAGGGTTCAGTTCAGGGGCAGGGTTTCAGTTGAAGGTGTAATTATTCAGCTTTCGGGTTCCCTCAACCCTAAACCCTAAACCCTAAACCCGAAACCCGAAACCCGAAACCCTAAACCCTAAACCGTAACGGGTTAGGGTCGTGTCAGGATCGAAGCTCTCGATATCCGGCTTGGGGAGTTGGGGTGGTTTAATACCAAACCACAACGACGCCATGATAGTAAAGGTTTAGGGTTTAGGGTTTAGGGTTTAGGGTCCAGGGTTTACGGTTTAGGGTTTAGGGCCTACCGAAGGTGCCGTTGCATGCAATACCCCTTATCGCTCCCTGATAAAAAGCTAAAAGACCTCATAGGACCCTTGAGAGTGGATGCTCGGAGGACAGCTGGACATTGGAGCGATTCACCGTCGTTGACGCAGGGAATGGCCAAGTGGCCTTCCACAACAGCAAGCGCTACCGCTTCCTCCAGATGTCTGGTTCGAAGACGAAAGGACTTGGCGGTGTGGTAGTTTGCTCTCGGGTTGAGGGTTTGAAAAACTCTGAACCCTAAACCGTAGGGCTTTGCGTTGGTGATTTCGGATTTCTGGTCTTGAGCCTTATGGCCTGATATCCCGAAGCTTAAACTATCAGGGAAGCATCTGCAACCTGAAGCTTCACAGCATCGGAAAGGGCTCCGCCCACCAGAAACTGTAATATAGAAGCCAAAATTACCTACATTATGCCTTAGGGTTCCTGATTATAGTATAATGGGCCCCGAAACCCTATTCCAATTATTCAGGCCCCTACATTACTAAGAGGGAGCCTGCAAGGGAACATCTTTACTCCCTAACCCATGAACCCGTCAAATCACAAGCCCATAGATCCACAAGAAGCTGCAACCTAAACCCTGCAACCTCGACCCTAAAGAGTAAACCGAAAAGGCCCAAAACCCTAAAACAAAAACAACCCAGACCCTAAAACATAAACACCCTAAGCTCTAAAACATAACCAACCCTAAACCCTAAATTCCCGTCCGGTCTTCTGGCGCCACCCGTCGGGAAGGAAGCCTAAAGGGAGAGAGACCCCTTAACGGGGACCCTTCTCAGTCCTACTTGTGTCTCTCTTAAAAGGGACTTAAGGTTTAGGGTTTAGGGTTTAGGGTTGAGAGTGTCTGCGTCTCCAAGGGTCTCCCGTGTGACATCCCCACATGGCTGCTTCGGAGCTTCCGGCCACTGGCATCTGGGTCACAGTTATAGGTAGTATTAGTAGGGGTACCCCTTAAAGGGTACCCCTTCTGAACCCTACTTGTGGCTCTCTTAAAAGGGACCTTATTGAGAGGGTCTCTATCCCCAAGGGTCCCCCTAGTCCTGGCTCCCAAGTTCGGGCTTTAGAGCCCTGGGTTGGCTCGCGAAGGTGTTGAGAAACCCAAAGCCCTAAACCCTAAAGCCTAAACCCGGACCCTAAACTCTAAACCCTAAACCAAAAACCCTAGATATATTAGGAAGGGTTCTGTAGGGTGACAGTCTCATGAACCAATGCTCCTAGATCCCGAAAGCAATCTTCTGAACCTACAAAAAGAAGGAGGCCCTCATTGCAAAGCGCCTGTTTTCGCATTAGAGCTCCTGGCCCTAAACCCTAAACCCTAAACCCTAAACCCTAAACCCTAAACCCGACTCCTGGCCTACTCCTGAAGTGAGAGTGGAGACTGTCGGGCTTAGGGGCGTCGTTTTTGGGGCCTAAATGATTAGAATGGGGTTTTGCGGCATTTTAGGGTTTAGGGTTTAGGGTTTCTACGATAATTATAATAAGGAGCCCCCCAAAATAGTCTAGGTAATTTATTTAGGCTTCTATGTCAGGGTCTCGGGCTTTGGGGCTTCAGCTCGGCCTTCGTCTAGGCTTTACTCCGGGGTGCAGGAATACCCGACATCGACACCCGATTGTAAGGTTTTTAGGTTTTTCCCTGTAAGGGTCCTTCTTGCATCGGGTGTTTCCGGGTCCCATTTCCAGAGTACTCCATAGCCCTTCAATGGTGGAACACACTTGACGTTACAGAACATACCATGACCAAATCTTAAACCTGAAACCAGCTCCCTGTCTGTTGGCTCAGGGTTTAGGGTTTAGGG